TGCCATGGAAACCAGGTGTCACATGCATTTTACTGGCTGTTACCATACAACAGATAATTGTGAATGTTTCATAGGACAACACTTCAAATATTACAGGCGCAAAATGCCAGCACAGCAGTCTCCACAAACAGTTTTAAAACACCTGATGATGATCAATGACGGTCGAAACATGTAGTGTACAAAATGTGACTATGAATAGTAACCTTTAAACAAATTTTTAAAGGAGTGTTGCAGGTAAGATGGAATATCAGTGATATTTGTTAATTAATACACAATGTGCAACACGATGCCACAACATTACCTTCTCCTACCTCTATTATTCTGGCTCTCTTAAGTGTCATGTCACAATATACAATAAGAGATGGGGCAGCCTTTTGAGATGAGGTTTTTAGGTTGGCAATTATGCAAATTACTGTCTTGTGGGATGCAAAGCCATTTATTTTTATTGCTAGTGGGGTGGGACTAAGTCCCTTGTGCTGCGGCCACTTCTGGCCTATTGTACCCGCCCCAGATGATAGGTAAGGGTGATTGTGGAGCAATTGGTGGAATGAAGATTGGCAAGGGAAACCGAAGTACTTGGAGAAAACCATAAATCCCACTTGACCAGCCCGGGATTGAACCCGGGCCGCTGCGATGGGAAGCCAGCAATTAACTGCTTGAGCTATGGCGCAGCCTCCTTGTGGGATGCAAAGTCATTTGGTTAGGTACATATAAACCAGATTACATGATGCCATATCCCACATAACAGTAATTTTCAGCATTGGAATCTGACTCACTGATCTTTCAATTTCAATGCAGATGCCAAGGTATAACGTATACATGACTCAGGTCATCAAAAAAGAGCATATTCTACAGATGGGGTCTGATAAAATGATACCAAAACACGCCTCTGATAAACCCTTCATGATCAGAATTCCCAATAGAGGTGAATGAAAAGACGGGTTTCAACCAGATAGAAAGGGGGGACTAATTTCGTATACAGATGGCTCCAAGACAAATAAAGCCATTGGAACTGGAGTGTATTGTGATGGAACAGGGCAGAAACGTACTCACAGCCTTGGTCAGTACACAACAGTATTCCAGGCAGAAGTGTATGCTATTAAGGCAAGCACAGTTTAGAATTTAGATAGAAACTATAAAAATAAGAACTCCTTTCATATTTTTATTGTAGTCCAGAAGTGAAACAGATTTCTTTTCTTTCTTCCTCCCACTTTATTTTCACCTTTCTTATTTCATCACTATGATACGCCAAGATCATGATGGAATTTTTTTTTGCCACGCCATTTCTGCAGACACATGCTGTGCTACAATTTTCCTTTTCCTCAGTTTCTTCTCTTTCACTATTTCTGGTATGTCTTTTCCTGTCCAGAGGCAGAGTACCATCACAATCAGTTTTAAAAATCTTTGGTTTTACAGCCGGTGCTCGTGCACTGGAGAAGTTGTCCATCCACAATGTGTGCCCTTTGCTAAGCAATGGTTCCACAAGAGACAAGACAACAGCTACTGTTTTACTACAGCCACCTGCTTAAGCTGGGTTCCTTGCTCGCGGATTTTTATACCGTGAAGATGGAGGCGATATGTTCCTCTGAAATGTTGGTTCACAAAGGATCTACATGGTACCACATCCCACAAGACGGCATTCTTCACACACTACTTGTTATGGCTGAAGCAGACTGTTGCATAATATAAATCTGCTACTCTCTAAATGGACCCATACATGAATGAGTCTGGCTCAGGAGTCCGATTTGGCTCGGGTTCCAATGATCCAAACTTGGGCATGTGTGGGTCACAAACTTGGGAGCCAGCTCATGCGTTTATGGTGAAATTAATCCGAGCATGCCTCCCAAGTCAAGCTTGCTGAGCCGGACTCATATGTGTGAGCCTCTTAAGCAGGTGAAACAATGAAAACATCCATCCATCCATCCTGTTACATCATACATCATTTGAAAGGCTGCACTGTCCTCTACAGAACTTCTGAAGTCAGAACTATAATACTGTGACATGTTGCGCAATGGAGGACAACCCCTCCCTCCCCCAGCCATGACGTGGCAGCTCTGACCACGGTGACATAGCCCCCCACCAGGCTATGTGGCACCGCTTCCTACTGTGATGAGGCACACAATGCTGGTGACATAACATGGCGTGAGGCAACAGCGGTACCAATTACGTAACAGCAAAGACTGTGACTATATACGGGGACTACACAGCAGCCTACAGGAGAGTTAAAGTGTATCAGCAGCCGAAGACAGTTCTCCAGTCAGCAGTGAACGAGTTGAAGTGTATCAGCTGCTGAACTGAGTTCTCAAGTTTACGAGATAGTTACGAATTAGCTGGCAGGGATTCAGTTAACCAGGCAATAGCTGTCTATCTGTCGTCGGAGTATTTGTTTTACTGCCAATGGCAGTAATTGTCAGATTGTAAATTGTGTGATTGTAAGAGCGAATGTGAAAAAAATTCGCTTTAGTCAATATGGCGTGAAGTTATCTGTTGTGCTATACACCCAAAACGTGACAATACTTTGTGCACTTTCGATATAGGGAGCTACGTATCAGACTGTGCACATGCTCCCAAGATTGATAGGCCACCTCGTAAAACAATAGTAAAAACTGATCAAGCAGGCCGATAATATTTATCATTTGAAAGCCTGCAACTACTGAAGTCAAAATTGTACTGCTTCAGGCATATCTGACAGATAGACCATTAAAAAAGAGTGTGGGATGTCATATGAAGAGACAACCACTAGCTGAACGGTCCTATAGTATTTATTACAGTTGCACCGTATACACTGACGAACTTGCGTTTGAAGAATTGAAGAATAATAATAACAATAATGAACACGCTGAACCAGAACTGTAGAACTGTAGGTCCAAATCCAAGTCACATTACGACTGATGGCCTGCCAGTCACTAAGTCTTGGTGTCGAGCCCAATTTATTAGTGTTTGGCATTTACGGTCTTCTTTCTGTGGGGCGCCCTCTCTGACGAGAGGACGGGTCTGCCTTTTGTATATGCTGCTGGCCCTTGCCAGTGCAGTCTTCTAGCCTCAGAGCCTCTTTTTTTTTTTTCTAAGTTTACTTTCTACACCTGGTCACACTCAAGAGTGCAGATTTTCAAAATGCTGTCACTTACTCCTCTTTGTGCTGGAGTTGCTGTACTAGTGTGGCCTTGGCTACATCACGATGTGACACTTCCAATGGATGATCAAAGTATTCTTCTTGAAGCTCCTGCATCACTGAGCTCCCTAAGGCTCGTTTCCTGGCACGTTCCAGCACGCATTGCTGTTTCTCTGCCCAGCTCTTGTCACCATCTGTATATGTCACACAGGCAAATGTCGGAAATGTCTGTGGTGCTAACTCAGGAGAGAATCTGCCTCTTGGACAGACCAGACAATCAGAGAATAAGCTCAAAATGCACTCAAATAACTATTTTAAAGTATTTGTTGGATGCAAGAAAGTGAATATACACCATGTAAGAGTTTAAGCATTAGCTGCCAACCAATCAACAGCACACAATCAAATAATCATGCAGAAGTCATGAAGCTAAATCTCCAATCTCAATACCGGATTAGATGGCATCACACTGCAATAAGCCACTGGAGACAATCCAATTTGGAAGAAAAGAGAATCAATCCTTATGATGAAGTCACGGAAATAAGTTGCACGGGTGTTGGTGATGACACAGTTCGAGACTTCCTTCTTTCTGCTTGATGTTTTATTCTGTTGCAGCCCTCTCTGGTAAGAGGTTATCAATACAAACATTCCTGTGATTGGAACAGCTAGGCAACTGAAGGGGCATGTAGACAATTAAGTTGGAGCAGGAAGCTTAACAGCCTGAGGGCGAGGTGGTGAGAACTGATCCAAGAAATTTCTTTCCGTGGCCTCAGTACAGTCAATCTTTTCACTCATCGAGCGTTTATTACATATTTTATGCATTCCTTCCGTATATTATTTTAAATTTGCATTTGTGGATGATATAAAAGATTTTGTAAATTTCTTAATTAATTTACTGATGTTTGAAATTTTAGTACATTCCTTCAAAAACTATCTGAATCACTACATGTTCTCATGGACACTAAATACATTTTTAGAACTGACAATATACATTCTCTAGTTGTACTTACTGAATGGGCTAACAGGAACTGCACAAGCTTTGTATGTCTAGGCATGAATATGTTATCAAGACAACAGCTAAAGTGAGTTCTGAGAGCTACAAGAGGCCAGATAAAGCACCACTTAATATTCAGAGTATCACAAAAATGTATAAAATTTACTTACCATAGTGAACAGCAGCCAATTTCGGTGGAACATACACTCCCTTCTTCACCTTGCCTTGTTTATCATCTGCCTTATCATCTTCACCTTCTGATTCACTGTCCTCTGATTCTTCCGCTTTACTAACCATGTTTTCTGGGTGTGCACATAAGTGAGATGGGTCAGATCCTCCAGTAGAGCCTGTAGCTGCAGTCTTCACCAATTTGTCAATTTGATGCTTCAATTTATGATCAATAGGGCGCATTTTCTCCAGTACTGTGCGTATTTCAACAAGGCGATCTGGACAGATCACAATATAACAGATTGAAGATTAAACCATTCCTAATCTACTGGACACTGCTATCCTGAGACTGTGTCCACACTTTTTCCTACACATCGACATTTCACTGTATGCAAAGTAAACTAACATCAGGACTTCTAAATAATTTGCATACCTCAAATTACTACCTGAGGCCACCAACAAACCAATATTTTCACCACGATGTACACAAAAATCAGCTGCTTGAAATAGCTGCATGTTAATGAGACTACCTGGGGTAGACTCCTCCCTAACAGAATAGCAGTCACTTAGCTGCTCATGAAATTCCCTATATTTTAATGGAATTCAAAGGTTTTTACACATTCACAACAGCCCGCAAAAAATTAATAAAAAATAACTATCAATATTAACAACATGAGCTAGAATCGTCACTGGCCTAACACTTACGAAATATAGTAACTATGCAAAAATGTTAACACAGTCACAACTTAAAAATTCAATATAACATGAAAATATGAACTATATAATCCATAAGAGAAATAGTCAAATCTTAAGATGTACATACAAATGTCCTGAAAACTACACAATGGGAGTTGCACATGAAAATGTTACACATAAATCAACAGTGCAGCTAATAACATACCTACGGCAGGATCTCCTTCAATCATTTTACCAGAACATTTACGCAGGACAACATACGTCAGGTTGATGAGATAGCTCAGAAGCATGTGATACTTCATTTCTAAAAAACTCAAACCCTGCAGTATAAATGAAGGCAAAATATTACAAAAAGCAGTAATATACACTGAGAACACAAAATATATTCCTTGTAAATTATTATGTACTTCAGTATGTTATATTTTAGCGTCCTGTTGCACTGATTTATGTCCATGATTTATTCTATCCGTCTTACAGTGCATACATTTATTCACCTTACTCTCCTCCTTTGCACTACATGTTTCAGCACAAGTGCCATCTTCAGGTTCTTTTCGATGTACGTCAAACTACTTCATTGCACGCCCTGCTGTCTTTATACTAAAATATACATTCATCATATACATTGATAAATCCCAAATATTAAAAATACTAAAAATGTTCAGGATCTGTCATCCCCATGTCGCATCTCAATACGCGAGTCACACCCATCTTCTTCTATCGGAGCATTCTTCCTACTTTCATGTGTGTATTGTGCTTTGTGTTGTGTCTTGCTCCTGTGACTGCGTGTGTTATAGCAGTCACAGAACTGCCGACATAGCAGTCGGCAAAATACCATCGATTATACGTCCAAAATGGTAATTGTCATTTAAAACCGTAATTATTATACCGACTTTCTTATCTTGGAAGTAGCATGGCTTTATACTTTCGGATCTTAATAATTATTAACTGTTGTTAGAGGTTGGTATAAAGTTTATAACCTCTAGAAAAAACGCTTAGGCATTTGTATTTATGCTGTTAATACAGCTACTACCTCATCATTCCTAAGGTAAAGCAACTGAATGAATGGAATGGATTTTATCAACATGCTGGCCTTGTCAGGAAGCTGAGCCGCTAGAATTGAAGTTATTATACATATAGCTTTCCTTGAGTGTTACAGTTGTTGCTCGTGTGCTTTGTAGGTGTGGCGCTGGTGGAAGGTGCTTCTTTTCATAATTTGTATATGGGTGGAAGTCAGGGAAGCATTTTACGTACCTGGAGTGGCTCCTGTTGAGTTTAAACGTGGGTATAGGATTGATCGGATTGATGTTGTAGCCGTCCTCTCACTCCCTCTCGCTTTCCCGCGACCTCTCTCGGAGCTGCGTAGTACTGATTGTCCCTTATAGCTATGCACGTTCCGCCTTCCGTCATCCACTCCTAGTAACTGGGCATTCGGCTACTAATGCCCTGTTAACCTTTGGATTTCACCTGTATAACTGTTTTCTTTGTTGTAGCACGAAAAATCTTCTCAGGGTCTTTACAGGCCTCGCTTCGACTGGAGCACAACACTTAATACACAATCCCCTAGTACTTTTATACACCAGGTTATTTACTCATTTGATTATTACCATTCAGTATTTAGTTCACTCTCTCTCTCACAAATCTCAGAGAGCGTAATCGATTTACACTTGCACTCTTTACATGGATATAACTAGCTCCACCAATTTATGGCTTAAATACATGAGGACCGAAATGGTCCGAGCCTCGCTAATCAGCCCCTAGCGTTCACACAACCCTGACCCCTGACGCCCCTGCGTCATCCGCGTCACCCGCCAGAACGCGTCAGGCGCTAACGCCACCATCGGCCTAATTTCTCAACACTCATATACGGGACATCTTCCGTTTCTGTCAACCCCGGATGCAGACATCTCAAATCACGCGGTCGAAGA